GCTACTTGGAAGGCTGAGGCGGAAGGATCGCCGGAGCCCAGCAGGTCGAGGCTGCGGTGGCTGGGAGCGGTCACTGCACTCCAGTCTGGGCGACAGAGTGAGACTCCAACTCAAAAAAAAAAAAAAAAAAAGACATTGCTTTAAACAGTTTTGAACATATCTGAACAAAATGAAAATGTCAGCATTACCTAGAAATGTTCTAATGTTTAAATGATCCCAAACACATTAACAAATAAAGGAGCAATCCTGACCAATGTCTATTAGATTAATTTTGGTAATAAACTTTGGCTTTTCTAAAACTTATGAACAGTGAAAAATAATTATCCAATTCAAACCAAAATAACAGTTTTCTTCTTCTTAATCCAGTTTTGCTGGTTAGAACTAATCCAACATGTGAGTTCTGTGGGATAGAGAAAGCAAGTATTAAAACGAATTAGTGGAAACATATTGTGTTACACCTTGGATTTGTGTAATCCCTGGATGGCAGTTAGTCGTGTTTGTTCCTTAGGCTTCAAAATAATTAACCTGGTGCTGTTCAGCTGGGAGAATGCTGCACCTTCTCCATCAAGTTTAAGGGCAAATGAGCCAAACAATATTTAGCTTTGTTACTTCCCTACAACATCTGTATAATTTGTTTTATCTCAGACCTCATTATTTCAAGGGTCTTTTAGGAAAAAAAGAGTCTTTAAGGGAAATTCTGTCTGGTGTCTTTAGCAAACACACTGTGTTGCAAGAGGTTGGGAAGAGCAGGAAACCCATTCACTTCAAGCTAAAGAAAGTGGGAAGTTGTCAAAGACTTTTTTTTGTTTGTTTTTTTTGAGTTGGAGTCTCACTCTGTCGCCCAGACTAGAGTGCAGTGGCCACGCCCAGTTACTGCAGCCTCTACCTGCTGGGGCTCCGGCGATCCTTCCGCCTCAGTCTTCCAAGTAGCTGGAATTACAGGCATGTGCTACCACGCCTGGCTAATTTTTTGATTTATTGTAGAGTTGAGGTCTCACCAAGTTGCCCAGGTGGGTCTCGAACCCGCGGGCTCAGGCAATCCACTCACCTCAATTTCTGAAGGCACGGGATTACAGGCTGAGCCACCGAGCCCGGCTATCAAAGGCTTTTAAAAGATATTTTTGTTATGTTTTTATTTTTATTTTAAAGATACGGGGTACAATTCAGGGTTAGGTATACAAATGGTCATTGAAAAGAGATTTTAGTTTAGTTTAGTGTGTTTGTTTTTGGTTTTCATTTGGAAGTGCCTAGCCACCAAAGAAAGAGTTTAAAATAAATTTCATAACTCATTTACTCATATTTTGAGTTAATATTTAAAAGCCAGTTTGCGATTTCTGATTTCATGAAACAATAGGATTCAGATACTAAATAGAAGCATGGAGATCAGTGTGCATGTCAGAGAAAATTTATGTTGACTAGATTGGTGTGTTTCTCTTCTCACTGCTTCTAAATGAGGAATATGTACATTATCATTTTCTGCTTTGATACAAAGAATCAGTGGGCAGTTATTATTTTATTATCTGAATCATAAAACCACCACTACAGCATTTAACAAAGATATACCTTGAGTGCAATATTGGTGAAGTATGACTTCATAAATTCTGTATTAACAGGACGAATTGCATGAATTAGACACTGTGATACACAGACAGCAAGCTGGCGACTTAGAGTGTGCTTGTTTTGTGTCACTGAATTAAGGAGGGTGGCAGGGAATTGTGTCAATACCATGAGTTGACTTCTGGCAAGAGTAATTTTCTTACTTCTTAGCATCTTATTGTTTTGAAATAATTATGATTATTATGAAAATTTTACTTTGTTGGAAAGAGGACACTCAATTTAATATTTTTTAGGCTTTTGAACTTCTGTTATAAAATTTTTTTGGAATCTATGTTATTATTTTTCTTTGCCAAAAATTAATTAAATAGAAATAAAAGATGCCCAGCGATTATCTCTATGAGAGCAAGAAATGAGTGAAACAACCTCATGATGTTCTTGAAATTTGACAACATGATGAGGCTTATTTTGTCACCATAGATTAGAAATTAGCTATCCTAATGGTCACGGCTTCAAAGAGGTTATAGGTATTCCATATTTACTTGCATGAAATTATAGACTACTTGAACCAGGGATTAGAGATCATTTAATCCTTCTTCCCTTTCCAAACGATTAAAAAACCCAAACCAAACTCTAAATTCAGGTACTCTAGTATTGGTGCCATGATTTCAATTGCTTTTGAAAGTTTCTTAAGAGTAAATCTCAAGCCACTGAAAGAAGATGTTTCAATACATTTTTGACTCAAAGAATTCTTAGCTAATTTAACCCCTCTTTCTATTCTTTGACATTAAAGTCAAATGGCTCTTGAATAGTCAGATCAATTAATGGCATTCCATGATAATAGAAATAATAAAAATTGACAATGCTAGGAACTTTTAAAGTTTCTGCTTAAGTTTCTGAAGAAAACTTTTTAAAAAATGAATGTTCTGTTCTCTGGGACATCATTGGGAAAAACGTACAGTCCTCCCTGGTGACTGATGAATAATACTTATATTATTAAAATATCATTACTTATATTTATTAAAAGCTCAGCCACAGTAACATAGACATATATTATCACAGAATTTGGATTTGAATACTTTAGTGAGCTAGGGTTACCTTTAGAGACTCTTCTTGTTATTGCTCAGAGAAAAGAGTAAGATATTTCCGGTTCCCATCTTAGGAAGCTGTTGGGTTAGGTCTTTCTCTGAGCCCTGGCTCCTACTGTAGTCTACATTCTGGGTGACCCTCTAGCAACAAAGAGTGGAGACTAGACTGTGTGGGTCAATCAAAAAGGCAATAGGAAATATACCTGGAGGAACTCAAGGCATTCTACAAAAAAGATACCTGCACACACATGTTTATTGCAGCACTATTTACAATAGCAAAAAATTGAAACCAACCATGCTGCCCATGCTGGACTGAATTTAAGAAAAACGTAGAATATTACATAGTCATAAAGAAGGACAAACATATGGACTTTGCAGCAACTTGGATGGATTTAGAGTTAATAATACTCAGTGATCTTTCACAGAAACAAAGAACAGAGTACCACATGTTCTCATTCATAAGTGAACCCTGAGCATTTACCATAATCGAATAAGAAAGGGATTGACAGTAGTGGGACACTGCTGGGGCGGGGGGAGGGGAAACACAATATCAATAAGGGTACCTGATCTCAAACCAGGCAAAGTGGGGACCGAAGGGGGGCCCAAACTTTTCCTGTACAATGCCCACTTGTATACTTAATCCTGAATTGTACCCTACATCTTAATAATAAAAAACAAAAGACAATCGGAAATCTAGTGTTAGCCTTGGGAACAATGAATTTTTCTCTAAAATAACTTCTAAAAACAACATAGATATGAGCATTAATGTTGCAGAGAGGTTGGCTCCATTAACTTTCCTGTTATCTGTCAATATGACTGAAAAGTCCTTCCAGGTCAGTGATTCTGTTCAAATGGTCTTTTTCTCTCATTTTCTTTTTTTCAATTTTTATATGAAATGAATGGTTTATCTGTATTGCTAATTCCAGCTCATTTTATGACCCTATTATTGGAGCCTTTTTTTAAAAGCTGAGACTTGGTTTCTTTCATTAGTATAAAACATTGTTATTGGCAAATTAAAAAAATTAGAATGAACAATGGCATATATTCATTATTTCATTTTTATAACATTGTGTGGTTTCCAGAGTGCTTCAACTCAATTATTCTGGGGCTTATCAGCTTCTTAGATGATTAGTTTGGCCTCTGTCTTCCTTCTCTTTTACCTGCTACATCCCTGATTTGAGAGCACTGCGGGGATTCAAGCTAGCAAAGACAAATGGGAAAATTCATAATAAAAATTTTCGCCACAAACAAAAGCACTTGTAAACTTTTAGTGGGGAAATATTTGAAGATACCGGTTAAGGTAAAGATTTGCGAGAAAGAATAGGTTTTTTATTCTTTTCATCTCTCTGGTGTCAGCATGTTAATAAATCTGACATCAATCACTTAAAGCCTCTGTGCATGGCACCATTCACTGGTAATGCAATAAGGGCGGCAGTCACCAGCCCACCTGTTTTAGTTCTGCTTGGCTAAGTCTTTTCTTTTCTTCCTTCCCACCCCCAGTAAGTGCTATAAAAAAACTCCCTGGGATAAAGGAGTACGAAGTGGTTTATCCCATAAGACTTCATCCACTACATAAAAGAGAGGTCAAAGAACCAGACCAACAGGTACAGCTTTTGATTCAATCAATTCAATCAAATAATCTTGATTTAAGATTTTACATATGAGACGAATATATGTATATGGTCTTTGTGACACCAGGCATGGTGTATTCAGGTATAATCTAATAAGCCCCCTTCCTGAGGTCATGCTTCCTGGTCAGCATTACACAATTCAGTTCTTGATTTAAGGGGAAAAAATGTTGATTTTATGTCTGTGCATATAATAGTGCATAGACACTGTGTGTGTGTGTGTGTGTGTGTGTGTGTGTGTGTGTGTGTGTATGTACACATGCTCATGTGTGTCTATGAGAGCACTTGTAATCTTTTCTTCTGGTTTAATATTGTCCAGGTCAATAAAAAAACATGCTTTCTATGTTTTTTACATGCTCTTATTTCTCCTTGACCCTCATGTCTCAATCCCAATTTTCGGTCATAAATACTTGTTGATCAGCATTAATTCTTCCCAAACACATGAATTTTATCTGTTAAAGGTAATAAACCATTAGACCAAATATCATAAATAATTGAAGAAAAGTTTACCTAAAAAATTAGAACCTTTTCATGTCTCTTTATGTGGCAAATCTTGTTTTCTTAAATTTTATTCATAGTTTCATTTAGTACATTTTCAAGTTCTCTCGTGCTCTCGTTAGCTGTAGAAGGTAGTAGAGAACCTATTATTAGGCATGATGACTTTAATAGAATTAGCACTGAATGCTTCTTCAGTGTCTCTAAATTAATATAACTCTATCATACTGTCTTCTTAATATGCAGGTAATATGTTTATAGGTGTTGAATGATGTCACTTGCTTCTCTAGTCTGTGTTTGTAAGACAAACATCCCACAAGAACCATTAGAAGTAACTCCTGCTAGGGTTTAGCTCTGGATGTTCATGGGTAGATATCAAAATCTACATGACAGGGTTGCCAGATGAAATGCAGGACACCGTTTACATTCAAATTTCAGAAAAACAGTGGATAATTTTTTGCATAAGTATGGCCCATATCACATTTGTGGCATACTAAAGAAGCTTTCCAAATAAATTAATCTGATTTTTTTTCCAACTAGTGGAATCTATTTCTCCTCCTTAGTCACCTCCATCCTTTCTTACTTCTTGTAAACTCATCCATTTGTAGGGTTACCACATTTAGCAAATGGAAATGTAAGATGCCCGGTTAAATTTAAATTTCAGATAAGCAATCAATTTTTTTTAGTATAGGTTGTCACCGTGTTGTATGGGATATACTTATACTTTAAAAATATTTGCTGTTTATCTGAAACTAATATTTAACCGGCATTCTATATTTAATCTGGCAACTTTATCATGTGATTTTTTATATCTCCCTGTGAACATCCAGAACTTAACCTTACCTATCTGTTAGTGATTCCAACTTTTGTCTAATCTACAAACATAAGGCCCCTATGCTGCTGCTTGTGTGATATCTTCATCCTGTGCTGCTAGGGTTATGGATTCTGCCATATCATACTTGTCTTACAAACACAGACTAGAGAAGCAAGTGACATCTTTGTCTGCCACAAAACAAGTATATAATTTCCACTGGCATAGAATCTTCTCTTTTCTCTCAGGCACAGCTTATGGTTAATAAGAATACTGTCCTCCAAGTATAAGCCAAATTCCCAGGCTTGTCTTTGCAGTTTCTGTGGTGAGATTACTGGTCTTCCCTGTGCAAAGACTTGATTAGCGATTACAATTTGAAACAATCCAGAATCCATAAGGATGTTGTCCTTCGATATGATCAAGAGGACTTCTGTATCCCATGAAAACCAAATAGGTCTCACTCTAGATCAATCACTTTTTTCTCAAGTCAGTGAAAAGGCAGGGGACTCTTGTAGTTATCATTATATGAGCATGCCCTGTGTTGAATAATTACATAATCAGAGAACTGAGCCTCTGATGTTACCTGTCAGCTGTACTAAGAGTATGGCACTACTTTTTTCTGACTTTATCACACATGGCCACATTGCTGAAGATTTGAACTAGTTTGAAAACAACCCTTTGAAAACATTTGCTGGGGAAGTGTAAAGACCAAAGTAGAACTTTGAATATTTCATTCATGATTATATTCATGATTGTATCTTATCTGCATGACACGAGGAAGACTGAATAAGCATGTGTTAAATAAATGACCAGATGGACAAGTGGACAAATGGACAAATGAATAGATGATCATGACTAGAGTACATTGACCATAAATATATATTAAAAAAATACTCAATAAGGTCCCTGAGTTTGGGAACTTACATTCTAAAGGCAGTCACTGTTCTTCTTAGAACTCATCCTCCAGATTGCACGCTTTCTTAGAGGTCAAAACCATCTTGTTATTGGTCTACGTCATAAAATAGAATATCTGACAGCATAATGCCTTCCCCAGATTAGGAAGTACTTCTGGCCATTAGCTAGATCTACCAGAGTTTCTAAAGGCCTTGGATTCACTGTTAAGGACAACAGTTGTATTGCTAGAATTAAGAACTTCCTTGGATCTTCTAGGATCTCCTCTGGCATTTTCTGTAGGCCCATTGACGTTATCTTGACTTTACAGAATTGAGTCCAACCTAGGATCCTCTAAGACTGTAGTTTTTCCAACCAACCCACTAAATATGACCCTTAGAATGTTTCCTGGAGAAAATTTGAATTCGTTTGTCCCCGTGGCCAGCTAATCTTACTTAATGGATCCCCAATCATCTCCTTTTATTAGATGCTCTCCAAGGTGTATTGACTCATACTTCAGAACCCAGAGAATACACAAATAGGACACAATTTTTACCAACCGCCATTGCTCTCTACCATGGAACTCTCTTCCAAAGTATGTCCATCACATCACACAGTGTGCCTCTTTCATAGAGGCTCTGGTTTTCTTCCTTGCTTTTTCTTTCTGTCTGTAATCTCTATGCCAGTGTCAGCTAAAACTCGACACCAAAAACAATTATTTCTTTTTTCTAAAACAATCTCCAGATAATGTTTTGGGGACTAAATCCACTAACAATCCATTGCTGACAATACGGAGATATCTGGAAGGCCCTTCTGGGTAGAAAACCACATTTGGTATCGTGACTTTATTCTACCTAGATGTTTTGAAACCTGAAAAGCAAGTGGTTATAACTACTTCCCAGGACTTTTATTTTCAATCCCCTGCCTTTTTCCAGCTTTTGCTATCCATTCAAATGAAGTGAAATCCATCAGCCTTTCCTTATCTAGGCCCACACCGTGAGATAGTTATAGTCTAGGATCTTTGGCACCAGTGCAGATCCCAACAACTGATGATTTAAAGGAAGAATGGACCATAATAACTGACCATGGAGATGGAAAATCCTCACATTATACCCATGCTGATAACTCTAAGCTATCATCATCCATCTGTGAGCTCATGTACCACTCCAGTCAGAAGTCAGAGAAAATAAAGGATTGCTTGGTCTTAGGTACAGTGCAGGAGAGGAAAGAGAACTCAGTTCATAATACATGATCTCAGCAACCTTTGATCTGTCATCTTTAGATATCTTTAATGAAATATCCAGTAAGCTTTTATATATGGAGTATAGTCACAGCTGATAACCTTGTTTTGTAGACCAAAGCCAGAACTTTGCACCCCAGAATATCTTCTTTAAAATAATTCTGTGTAGTCCCCTATAGCTCTTCTTATATATTTAAATCTAAAATTAAATTTTTTTCCTTTTCATCATGGTTTGCTTGAGGTAATACTTCCTCTTCCTAAACATCTGAGACTGTGGTTTCTTCCTGATGATTCCTCTCCATGTTAAAGTATATGGTCCTATTATGTTTCTCAGATTCTGTCCTCCACTTAGCCTTGAGAAGACCCCAGGACCAAAAATCATCAGTGAGACCCAATGGAGGCTTTTAGGCCTCTATGTGCATTCTTCCTTCTTACTTACCTCTCTGGACCTCTCTGTATAATTCATATCTCAGCTTAAACATTATTCCCTCAAGAAAGCCTTTCCTACCCTTAAGACATTAGACATGCTACAATATATACATCAATATCATACAACATAACTTCATTATCTGTCTTTCCATAAGATTATAACTTTGGTAGCAGGTACTAATTTTTATTCCTTAGAGTTGAATTTCCAGAACCAAACAACGTCTTGCACAGAACCAGCACTCAAATAATATTTGTAGAATACATGGATGGATGGATGAATGGATAAGTGGATGGAAGGATGTATGGATGGATATAATAGTCTCAGATAATTTGTCTATTTAGTTACCAGAGCTGTCTGATTTGTTAAAAGAGGTTAAGATAGACATTTGGTATTATAACTAAAGAGATGCAGATATGGCTTGCTAATGATTGAACAGATAGACCCAGCCAAATGAATATTTGTACATGGTTTCTAATTACCAGTAAATGTTTTTGCATTTTTTCAGGAACATTTTGAAACTGAATTAAAATATAAAATGACAGTCAATGGAAAAATCGCAGTGCTTTATTTGAAAAAAAACAAGTAAGTATGTGTATCTCTGATACTATAATTTCCTTACCGATAGCAGGTTAGCATGTAGAAAGTATGCTAATTGAGTCTGTCACTACTTATGACTCACACAGATCTTGACTAATCAGCTTTTGCTCTCAACTGACTCAAGGTGTTCGGTGAATATTCATTCCTTCTAAAGTAGTAGAAATACATTGGGTAAGCCAACAGTTTGTTAGTACTTTGATACTTTTAGTAATAAAACACAATTAATGAACACATATGTTTTATTTATTCTATGTAATAACCAAAAGGTTCCAGTGTACTTTGCTATAATTTTGAAATTTTCCTCTATCTTATAATTCACTATTCTAACACTAAAACTTAGACCTTAAAACCATTTGCAACTCAGAAAAAAGACGAGTGAAATAAATGCCTAAGTAAATAAAACTCTAGGGCCAAATGCAAAGTTAGTGGCAAACCAGAATAGAGTTCTCCTGACACCTAACATTAGTGATTTTTCGACTCAGCTATTCACGAACCCATCCATTTTTCTCATGTTACTTTGTTCTCAATTCAACAGTTCTTTTGAAATTTCATTGTTGCAACTCTCAGTCAGATCATGATCAATCTATATCTCAGACTTAGTTTTTCCTAATTCTATGCTTTCAATCTATTTTAATCTCTAGATTCTCCCATATAGGGCAGCAAGATTTTTCCCTCAAATAGACTATCACCTTTTGCAATAAAAAAAAAATTACAATTGAATAGAGTATGAAAGTAGTGTGGCATAATAAAAATAGCATAGGCTTTGGGTTAGGCTAATTTGGATATGATTATTTACATTTTGATTTAAAAGTAAGGAGTAATAATTATCTCATAGGATTTTTTAAAGGATTGACTTAAATGATGCTATAACATTGCTAACACAGTCTCTGCTCTAAAGATGACATTTTATTCATGAAAGTACTTCTTTTTTCCTTGCCCTACCTCTTTTTAAAATTATTTGTATACATTTGCAAGTGTAATTTTGTTACATAAGTAGATTACATAATGGTGATGTCAGGACTTTTAGGGTATCTATCTTGCAAACAAAGTATACTGTACTCATTAAGTAATTTCTCATAATTCACCCCTTCCTGTCTCCGACCCTTCCAAATCTCCACTATCATTCTAAGCTGTATATCCATGTGCACATATTATTTAGCTCCTGTTTATAAATAAGAACAGGCGATATATGGCTTGGTAAAATATATTTATCACTCACAGTAGCCAATAAATGGACACAAACTAAGTGTTCCTGGACAGACGAAAGGATAGAGAAATTGTGTCCTATATGTATGTATATATATGTATCTATATACACAATGGGATATCATTTAACTACAAAAAAAGGAAATCTTGCCATTTGCAACAACATCGATGAAACTGGAGAACATGATGCTAAATGAAATAAGCCAGACACAGACAAGTACTGCATGAGCTCGCTTATATATGACATCCAAAGAAAACAAAACTCATAGAAACAGAGTGTGATATGGTGGTTTCTAGGGACTAGAAGAAGGAGAACAAAAGGAGGAGATGTTGGCTAAAGGATACAAACTTTCCATTATAACATGAATAAGTTTGGGAGGCCTCATATACGATGTGATGACTATAATTACTAATAATGCATTATGTACTTGAAATTTGCTGAGAATAAGTTTTACCTATTTTTACCACATACATGCACACACACGTGCATACAAATTATACATGGAATGATGAATATGTTGATTAGCTTGATTGTGGTGATCATTTCACAATGTATTTGTATCTCAAATCATCATGTTGTATACCTTAAATACATACAATTTCTTTTTTAGTTGGGGCCTCACTCTGTTGCCCAGGCTGGAGTGCAGTGGCAGGATCACAGCTCATTGCAGTCTCGACCTCCTAGGCTCAGGCAATCCTTCTGTCTCAACCTCCTGAGTAGATGGGACTATAAGCACACATCACCACGCCTTGATAATTAAAAAAAAAAATTTTGTAGAGATGAGGTCTTACAATTTTACCTAGGTGTATCTCAAGCAATCCTCCTGCCTCAGCCTCCAAAAGTGCAAGGATTACAACATGTGCCACTGTACCCAGCCAGATATATACATTTTTTTTTAGTTGGAGTCTCACTCTGTTCTCAGACTGGAGTGCAGTGATACACTCACAGCCATCCCAGTGTCGACCTGCTGGGCTCAGACAATTCTTCTGCCCAGTCTTCCAAGTATCTAGAACTATAGGCATGCACTACCTCACCCGGCTAATTTTTTTATTTATTGTAGAGACAAGGTCTTGCCAAGTTTCCTGGGCTGGTCTCAAACCCCTGCGGGCTGAGGCAATCCACTCTTCTCGGCCTCCCAAAGTGCTGGGATTACAGGCTGAGCCACTGAGCCCGGCCTACAATTTTTATAAGTCATTTATACCTCAGTGGAGCTAGGGGAAAAATATTTTTCTATCTATCTATCTATCTATCTATCTATCTATCTATCTATCTATCTATCTATCTATAGAAAACAGGAATCTGATCATATATATATATATAGTATAAATATATGGGATGTAAATGTAATTTTGCTACATAGATAAATTGCGTAATGATGACATCAGAGATTTTAGGGTATCTATCACCCAAATAATGTATACTGTACCCATTAAGTAATTTCTCATCATTTGCCCCCTTCTGCCCCCCCACTGTCTATCATTTGCACTGTATGACCATGTGCACACATTATTTAGCTCCTATTCGTAAATAAGAGTAGGTGATATATATATATATAGATACATACATATATCTGAATATATATATTCAGGCTCCTATTTTCTGATGGATAACTGAAAGCATGAATCAAGAAAATTAGTGAAATTTCCAGAAGGGCCCTAACTACCAAATTCAAGTCAATGTCCAATAAATGTACTTTGCCACAGTTGTTAGCAGTAATTGAAAAAGACTGAGCAAAAATGCATCTATTCCAAAATGGCAAGAAGCATTGCTCGTATGGTTCATTTTTATCAACTTTAACTTCTTCAGTTCTGTTTCTTCCTGAAGTCTTCCTCAAGAAAGTATGCAAAGTCCTATGAAGAAGAAGATATGATTCCACACTATTCAGTAATGTCCCTGTCCCCTTCAGTCTTTCCATTTAAAGGAGCCCTTTAGTGCTTAAACTTATCTTGGGAGGTGAGAAGGAAGAACTCAGAAGTTAAAACTTTTCTGCACACCCAGTGATCACTGGACTTTACAATCAGCATGAGTAATCATGGCATTTTTGTTTTTCTTTCTCCAGGAATCTCCTTGCACCAAACTACACAGAAACATATTATAATTCCACTGGAAAAGAGATCACTGCAAGCCCACAAATCATGGTAACAGGGTATCCTAGATTCTTTGTTAAATGGGGGCGTGACTTACAGACTTAAAGGCAGTGTCCTTGCCAGGAAATAGTAGAAGTGAAATTGCAATTTTTTTTTTTTTGAGTTGGAGTTTCACTCCATTGCCCAGGCTGGAGTGCAGTGGCACACTCACCGCCACCCCAGTGTCAATCTGCTGGGCTCTGGCAATCCTTCCGCCTCAGCCTGCCAAGTAGCTGGAACTACAGGCACATACCACCACACCCAGCTAATTTTCAATTTATTGTAGAAACAAGGTCTCACCAAGTTGCCCAGGTGGTCTTGAACCCACAGGCTCAGGCAATCCACTTGCCTCGGTCTCCCAATGTGCTGAGATTGCAGGCTGAGCCACCAAAATTGCATTTTTAACATTGATTCTTTTTTCAGCAGTAGTAATTAGTTAATTGATCTTCCACTTTTTTCACATTTTAACAAGAACAAAGTTATTTCTTGACAACACTGGCAAGCTTTTCCAGGCGTAAGAGCTTCTTATAGGAGCAGAGGCACAAAGAACATACTATTTTCTTTAAATACCTCTGGTGCTCTCAGTCAATTCCTATCATCTCTCTGGATTTATGGTCTATTAAACTCAAGACTGTTTTCCTCGTGGCAGTTGTAGAATTGTCCTTAAATAATTTCGACTCTTGACTCCTAATCAGAGACCCTTTCTGCTCAGACTGAGCAGATGGCATTGGGCATCATGTCGATGCGGTAATGCACCACTGTCTTCTTTTTTTGGTTCCCTTGTCTATGGGAAGTTCTTCAAGTATTCTTGTCTATAGTGATGATACATGAGTTTACATGGGTCAACATTTCATCAATCCCAAAGTGGAAAGGTCCATCATCTACCTACAATATAGAAAGGAAGTCACATGGAAAAAATGTTCGGGTGGGTATTTTGTTCTAAATGGAAGCAAGAAACATTGCGCTGATTCGGTTAAGCTAATGAATCCCTTTGGATAAATCAAGAAATTAAAAAATAATTTGAATAACACACCCATTGGAAAAATAGCTTGTATATCTTTTTTAGAAAAAACAAAAACGGAATGAGCAATCAGCTAAGGGGAAGATTGGATGTCTGGTGTTTGGGGTACTCAGGTTTTATACTTACTTATCTAGGTGTCCAGGTTTATTTTTTCTAAACAGAATTCACTTTCATCCTGCTTCAGTGACATCAACATTTAGTAAATACTCTGTAAGCATTTTAGAGTCATTAACTAACATTAAAGATTTTAACCCATAAAAAACTTTTATTTAATTAATTTTTTGAACATCTTAAGTTATCTGTTATTCAGCAGAAAATGTTTTGAAAACATTATAAATCCTGTTTCAAGATTTCAGACTTTAACAGTAGGTATGCAATTCATGCATACTTTCCTTCACAAAACCCCTTTTCCCCTTTTCTTTAGGATGACTGTTACTATCAAGGACACATCATGAATGAAAAAGTTTCCGATGCTAGCATCAGCACATGTAGAGGTCTAAGGTAAGACCTCAGGAGTGATTTGTATGTACTTGTGATTGTGGTGTATATATGTGTACTTAGTAAATCAGAATAATTTTACATATCATTAATCATAATAGAGTTGAGTATGAATTTTAAAAGCCATAGAATGTTGCAATTTGGAGGAAATACTACTTCTCTTGACAGCGGTTTGTAAATTGCAGACTTGAATTGCTTTCAGAGGTGTTTTTGTCGACTTGTTTTTAAAATACAGGATTTTGAGTCTCAGTCTTTAGGAAATAAGAGCACCTTTTCTCTCTCCTCACTGCAACCTCTCTCTGTAGCTCTTCTTATCCATGACTATCATGTATTTATTTCTGTCTGTTAATGGTTTCTCATGCTTCTGTCTACAGTAGGATGTCTCTTCTGATGTCCAGGCTTGATCTAATTTCCTATTTCATATCTCCAGTTGAGTATATTAAAGAAATATCATTCCCAACGTGCTCTAAACCAAACTAATGATTGTTTCTCAAATCTGGTAATTTTCCTCTTCTCTATCTTAATCAATGGTATAATTAATTAACTACTTGCCCAATTCAGAAACATAAATACTTTGAGGACTTCTTGCCACTCAGTCCCCTATTTCAATCTCCTATCAAGCCTTATTGATTATATCTTCTAAATATTTTCTGAGTTCTTTAACTGCATTCTGTCTCTACTTCAATATCATAGTCCAACTACCATGATCTTTTATGAGATTATTTCAATAAACCACATAATTTATCCTCCACATTCACTCTTGCTGTCATATAATTCAATGTACACTTAATCCAACTTCCTATTATATGTACTTATATGTTTTCTCCACACTAATTATCTACTTGGAATTATATATATTAAGTTTTTACTGCATAATTATGTATATTCAGTAGTTATTTAATGCATACCCATTTTCCTCATTTGAACATAAGTACCATGGAAAGAAAGAAACCATGACACTCTATTTTACTGTCTGTCCTTAGTTCAATGTGTAATGACTGAAGTAGCCCAAATACAAGAATATTTTGTTAAGAAGGCACAATTCTCATGCTTTTCAGAGGTTACTTCAGTCAAGGAGATCAAAGGTACTTTATTGAACCTTTAGGCCTCACAAATCAGGATGAACAGGAGCATGCACTCTTCAAGTATGATCCTAATGAAAAGATGGACAGCAGCACCTGTGGGATGGATGATATGTTATGGGCACATGGATTGCGGCAGAATGTTGCTTTGCCCGCCACCAGACTAGTAGTACGTGTAACTTTCTTTTTTTCTAATTTGGGATGTTCTCATGTAACTTCTCCTGAGTGTCAGTATTAGCAGTGCAGTTCAGTGAAATTTTACAGTTGTTGAAATTAGTAAGCTATAGAAACACAAATCTTAAAGCATTGGTAGACAATGATGATTCATTTAATAAGTACTTATGAATCAATTATTATCATCAATGATTCATATCAAGAATCTAGAAACACTGGATAGAATTGGTCTGAATAAAATTTCTGGTGGGTTCAATTTGCGGTAGGTTTAAATTCTACCAGCAAATTCACCAAAAATGTAAATAAATAGTCAAATTCAGAATACTTCAAAGCTGTTGTGGTGCTCTGTAGATCATATGTATCTCTAAAGTTAAAAGTCAGATCAATAAAAAAGAGCTACAATAAGTTGTTTGAAACACATAATATAGAATATGTAAAACTGTGACATTAAAAATATATATTACTGGGGAGAAAGCAAATGCCTAGAGTGTGTGATGATGTCATCAATGTAAAATAGTCTATATGGTAAAATTTCCTCTATAACTATATTTTTTTTTATGTAGGCCTCACGGTAACCATAAAGTATGCTCTCTCTCTCTCTCTCATTATATATCTTGTATGCAAACAACAAAAGAAAGGAATCAAAATTTAACACTACAGAAAAATCACAAAGATAAACAAGAGGAAAAAAAAAGATATAAAGGATCTATAAAACAACCAGAAAACTACTAACAAAAGTAAATTCTTACCTATCAATAATTATTTGGGAAACAGGACCCCTACCTATCACAATATAAAAAAATCAACTCTAAAAGGACCAATGACTTAAACATAAAACCTCAAACTATAAGAATCTTAGTAGAAAATGCAGGAGACACTGCTATGCACATTGGAGTAGGCAGCCAATTCTTGATCAAATCCCCAAAAGCATATGTCATAAAAGATAAGATAGACAAGTGGGACCTCATTAAACTGAAAAACTTTTGCAAGCAAAAGAAATCATCAAGAGAGTGGGAAGACACCCCACAGAACGGGGAAAATCATTTGCTAATTGTGTGTTTGACAAAGGCCTAACAAGTAACTCATATGAGCCAAAAGGGAAAAAACAAAAACAAAACAGAACAAAAACCAAACAACCCTATTAAAAGATAGGCAGAGGACATGAAAAGACACTTTTCAAAAGAAAATATACAAGCAACCAACAGATACATGAAAAAATGCTCAGCCTTACTAATCAAAACCACATTGAGATACTGTCTTTTCCCAGTAAGGATGGTCATTGGTAATAAATCAAAAAACCATAGATGATAGTGTGGGTGTGGAGAAAAGGGGACACTTCTACACTGTTGGTGGGAATGCAAACTAGCCCAACCTCTGAAAAATAGTGTGGTGATATCTAAAGGAACTAGAAATTGACATTACATACAATCCAACAATTCCCTTTCTGGGAATATACTCAGAGGAGCACAAATCATTCTACAAAAAAAGACACCTGCACATGCATGTTTATTGCTGCATTATTCACAATAGCAAAAACATGTAACCAATCCTTATGCCCATCAAAAGTAGACTGGGTAAAGAAAATGTTGCACATATACACAATGGAATATTACACAGCCATACTGAAGGACAAAATCATGAGCTTCTCAGCAAATTGGATGGAATTAGAGATAATCATTCTTAGTGATCTACCACAGAAACAAAGAACTGAATACTATCAACAAAACCCTTTCTGGGGAGAAGATGCTGGGAGAAACTGATTAAGTGGGGGCTTATGAACAAGTGGTCAGGGCTATCCTGGTGAAGCAGTTGATGCGGCAGCTGCTCTGCTTGGTCCCTAGTGCTCCCCAGGTCACAGAATCTGAGTGCCATTTTTTTTTAACTGACAAAAGTCTTCCTGGGAAGAAGCTGCAGGGAGAGACTACTGGCTCCAGGTTCTGCTTCACCACTGAAGCAGAAGGAAGTGCTGACTCCAAGCTCTGTCTCCCCACTGTAGCACCTGGCTGGACACCGGCAGCAAGGGTTATGGAGGGAGCCCACAGACAAAACCCCACTGGAGAAGATGAAAGAAGCACCCTGCCATCCTCTTGAAAATGGGGCAGGAAAGTGCTCCAGTTTGCTCACAACAGAGCAACAGACCCAAACTCGGTGACCAGTGGAACAACTAATCAGGGGTTGACCATGAACCAGAAGGGAAATACTGAAAGCACAAACTCCAGAGGGACAGAATGAGTGCTGAGTTTCAGGTGCCCCACTCTCTACCTTGCTTCAGCCATGGGACTAAGGCTGTAACCAGAAAAGGACAAGGAAGACCTCCAAAGGGATCAGTGTCCTGTTTCAAAATAGAACAAATCCAGAGCCCTGATCAGGGAAGAATAGAGGGCTGAGCATACATCAGAAATGAAAGTCTCACCCACTGTCACTGAATAATGGAACTAAAGAGAAATGAAAGAGATCTATCACAAATGAGTAAAAACTAACAGAAGATCACAGGTAATTTCCAGTGTAACAAAGAGAAGACATCAGAAAAATTAGACCTTAGAGCCCAAATACTGGAAGTCTCCAACAACTGACCCCAGAATATGACAGGGATTAGATGGATGGAAAGTGAATAAGATTCAAGAAAGACAAGATACAACACTGAAAGAACTTATAACAGAGATTTTGACCATAAAAAATTTTCATCCAGTAAATAGCAAGGTGACAAGCATGGCATGAAGAATTAGTAAACAGAAGAAAGAGTCTCAGAACTTGAAGACCAGAACATGGAATTAACCCAATCTGCAAAAAAACATAGAAAGAAAACTCAGAAAGAAAGAAAAAAGTCTACAAGACATGTGTGATTATATCAAGAGGCTGAACCTACATCTAATTGGTATCCTAGAAGAAGAAAGGGAAATAGAGAACACCTTGGAGCAAGTATTCTAGAAGGTTATCCAGTAAAACTTTCCCCATCTCACCAGAGATGTGACCAATCAGGCACAAGAGATACAAGGCATCAAATGAGAAGACAAACTCCTAGACACATAGTAATTCAGCTACACAAAGTAGGCACAAAAGAAAAAAATGCTAAAAGCAGCAAGAGAGATAGGTCAAACTACTTACCAGGGAAAATCAATCGAATAGCAGCAGTCCTATCAGCAGAAACACTATAAGCTAGAAGGGACTGGAGTCTAATATTCAAAGTCCTCAAAGATAAACAATTTCAACCAAGAATTTCCTAACCAGACAAGCTCAGCTTCATCAGTGATGAAGAATTAAAATCCTTCCCAGACATCTAATCCCTAAGAGATTTTGCAGCTTCCAGACCAGCTCTATAGGAGATGTTTTAAAAAAGTATTAAGCATAGAAGAAAGAAAAAAAGAATGACCATACACTTCCCGAGAGAACAGTAGAACACAGAATCAGTAGAGAATACATTGCAACTGCAAACTTAAAAACACACACATCAATCCCAAAGCTAAAAGAAAACAACCAACCAAACAAGCAAAGAAAAAACTTTGTAAGAACCACATGATGGGGATAAACAATCACATCTCAATAATCAGCCTGTATGTGAATGTACTAAATGCACCACTGAAAAGACATAACATAGCAAACTGAATTTAAAAAAAGCATGACCCAATTATTTGTTGCATTCAGGAAACTCATTTCACCACAAGGGACGCACATAGACTCAAAGTTAGACGATGAAAAGCGAGTTTTCAGGAAAACAGATTACAAAAGAAGGTAGGAGTTGCAATCTTAATATCAGACAAAACAACCTTTATGCTGTCCACTTAAGGACACTACATAATGTAAAAGCTTCAATCCTTCAACAAAAAGTATCCATCCTAAACATATGTGTATCCACACAGGAGCACCAGCATTTATAAAGCAACTGGAAGTAAACTAAAAAAAGATATTGACTCTAACACTATTATAGCTGGGAACTTAAATACCCCACAAACAACAATAGATAGATCACCACGGCAAAACTTCAACTAAGAGATCTGTAACCTCAACTTAACCAAATGGACTTAATAGATACCTACAGAATATTTCACCCAACAACCACAGAATATTTTCTACTCACCACCACATGGAATATATTCCAAGATCAATTACATCCTTGGCCATAAATCAAGCATAAACAAATTCCATAAGATTAAAATATTACCATGCACCTTCTAAGACCACAGCAGAATAAAAATAAATATCAATACCAACAAAATTTCCCCCAAACCGTCAAAGACATGGACAGCATGATGCTGAACAAACACTGGGTCAACACAAAATCAAAATAGAAATTAAAAGATTCCTGGAAACAAATGATAATGAAGAAACATCTTCCCAAAATCTCTAGGATGCCAAGAAAACAGTTCTAAGAGGGGAATTTATATCTCTACAAACACATCAAGAAAACAGAAAGATTACAAGTTTATAGCCTAACAAATCACTTGAAGGAGCTGGAAAGACAAGACCAACAATACCCTAACTTTAGCAGAAGAATCCAGATCATCAAAATAAAAGCCCAAATATGGACCATAGAAGACACAAATAGCATAGAAAACATTAACAAAACAAAAAGCTGGTTCTTTGAAAGAATTAACAAGATTGATGGACCCCCTAGCCAGAATGATCAAGAAAAAGAGATTAAAAAGCCAAATAAACACAATCAGAAACACAAAAGATCAAATCATAACTGACCCTGAATAAATACAGAAGAGTATCAGAGATTACTATGCACTCCTGTATGGAAACAAGCTTGATAAGCCAAATGAAATGGAGGACTTTATGACATCACACAACCTCACAAGGTTGAAACAAGAAGACACGGAGACACTAAATAAACCAATAACAACCCTGGAAATTGACTCTATCATAAAAAAAAAAAACACTATCTACAAAAAATATATATATATGCTCTGTACTGGATGACTTTCCAGCTATAAAACGTGAGAGGAGCTGATACTAATCCTATTGAAAGTATTCCAGGCACTTGATAAAGATGGAATTTTCCCCAAATCATTTTATGAAGCTAACATCACACTATAGCCAAACTGGGTAAAGATCCAACCAAAAATAGAACTACAGGCCAATATCCTCTAATGAACAAGATGCAAAGATTCTCAACAAGATTCTAGCAAATCTAATCCAACAGCACATCTCAAAAATCATCTACCATGACCAAGTAGGCTTCATCCCTGGGATTGCAGGGCTGGTTCAACATCCACTATGAAAAGTTTTGTTTTTATATATTTCTTTTGGAGAGAAAAAAGAAACAGAAAATAGGGAGCCCTAGAATGTGGGAAGGAAATTCAACTCTGCCTGAAGAGAAGAACACAGACTAGATGCAAATGTGGCTATCTGCATTGCTCCTTAGTAAAGGAGCTGGTGTTCACCAGGTTAAGAATAAAAGGCTGCCGGGCTTGGTCGCTCAGCCTGTAATCCCGTGCTTTGGGAGGCCGAGGCGAGAGGCTTGCCTGAGCCCGCGGGTTCGAGACCTGCCTGGGCAACTTGGCGAGACCTCATCTCTACAATAAATCAAAAAATTAGCCGGACGTGGTAGCGCGCACATGTAGTTCCAGCTACTTGGAAGGGCTGAGGTGGAAGGATCACCAGAGCCCAGCAGGTCGGGGTTGCGGTGGCCGGGAGTGGCCATTGCCCTCTAGCCTGGGTGACAGAGTGAGACTCCAACTCAAAAAAAAAAGAATAAAAGACTACCAAATACACAAAAACAAAACAGAAAACACTGGGAGCATGCTGAAATCAGGATGGGGAGAAAAGTCTAATTTTTTTTAAAAAAAGGAAAGTCGTTGGTTTTATTTCTAGCTCCCATATTAGTTAGTTTTGTAATAATTTAAACCCTTTAGCAAAATTAAGGGGCCAGCCCAGAGTATTGCTGGTGTCCCTTCTAGCTCTAATATTCTAGTTTTATCTGTAGTTAATTCTGGCTGTTGAATTAGAGTTAAAATGCTAATACTGTCTTGCTTTACTCTAAGATATCAACCAATCTCTCATAAATTAACATGTCAAATAATAGTAGAACTCTTGCAGAGAAAGATGTCTTAGAAATTGTTCTTCTTGTATTTCAGAAATCAAATGACTGGAAGCGTCAAGAACAAAAGAAATACATAGAATACTATTTGGTTCTGGATAATAGTGAGGTAATTATATAAAATAAATGTGTCTTTTAAAGCCCCTCTATACATATATTTATTTATTAAATGAGATATTAAATGTCTACATAAGATTTGAAAAATCATGAATATGAGCTATGGTTACAAATTTTTCTGAAGCTATGAAATTTGACATCTATAACCAGTATGTTTTCTTCTATTCAGAGAAATCAGGGCAACTCACTTGATATGCATAGATCAAATTATTGGCTCTATAATGCTAATTTCTTATTGATGAAACAGTTCCAAGCTTAATTTTCAGTTAAATTATTTTGCCACTTTATCTTTTGCTAAGCAGTTAAATCATCTGTATATTAGAATATATTCTCATCAGGGAGTGGTCAATATAAAAGCCCAATGAATGGAATCTTCTGAAAAAAGCAAATATGTGGTGACAGTTACTGTTTATATCTTCTTTTATAAAAATGTATTTTCATATATTGGGTTTTATAAATGCAAGATCCACATGTGTATGCAAATATGAGTAAATTAATTCATTCAGGCTCTGAAGCTTTGATCTTTCTTATTGCACTGAATTCATTTTCTCTCTCTCTCTCATATATGTATATGAATGTGTATGAATGATATTCCTTGCACTGATCCTGTACAGCTTAGGAAGCCCTGGAATATAAGTGAAAATACATTTGGAATAATTCCTTAGAGGTTTATACTGAACTACTATTTCTAGAAAGAAAACATCATCTTCACTCCTAGAGTGCTTTGATTTAGCTAGAGGAATAGGAATCAGTTTGTTTCTAATATTTAAGTGTTAACTTTAATAGCTAATTCCTAATTTTAGCCCCTGATATCCCCTGATATATAATATAAGTAAAGTTGCCTTTTACCCCCTCCAATTTATATTAATACCCATGTTTCGGCTTAATTGCTTTTTAGTTTAAAAAGTACAACGAAAATCCAGATGAAATCAGAAAAAGGGTGTTTGAGATGGCCAATTATGTCAACATGGTATGCTATATTTTATGTACTATACTTTTAAGCAATTTTCTAGGACATGTCATTGGGGTTATTGATACATGCACATGAAGCAGGGGAAAAAAAGTCACGTCCTCAGAGACTGATGCTGCTGCCTGGCTGCTGAGGGATGAGTACAACTTTTGCGACTTCAGGGAATACTAGTGACGCGTGCTGGAGCCTTTTCTTACTGACTTGCCACACTATTCTCTGATCTATGAACATATAAAAACTGTTTGTTTGGGTGCTTTTTGTTTTCCTAAAATCCACTAAGGGAATGCTAAAGACCAAATCCCAATGTAAGCTGATCCAGAGGGGAAAAAAGGAAAAACAAAATTTGCTCTGTCACAGTGGTGTCTTTTATATGCAATTATCTCATTCAATCCTGAAAACAACCCTAAATAAGATATTACTAAAGCCTCCTGTATAGCTAAGCAATCATATTCTGAAAAGCAAAATATCTCACCTAAGATCACACAGTTAGAGAAAAGGTTTGAATAAAGATTTTTCAGATTTCCAACCCTGTTTGAGGTATACAACTATTGATTATATTATTGTGCTCTTTAGACATGATTGTATCATATAATTTTCAAAATCTTAAAAAGTGATTTTATAATCTTTTAAATAAAATATAGTTAGTTTCCTGATGGTTGAATATGTGTTTGGCATACTTAGCTTGCAAATATTCTCTTTGTGTATTCTATAAATCTTCTGAAGGTAGAAAAAAAATTAGCATGAATTCACTGTCAAAGGTCATATTACATTTTCTTTTTTTAAAGTTTTACTTTTTTATTTTAAAGATGTGACGTATAATTCAGGGTTAGGTATACAAATGTTCATTATGCAGGTACCCTTGTTGATGAAGTGTTCCCCTCCCTCTCCCCGCCCCCGGCAGTTTCCCACTACTGCCAATCCTTTTCTTATTACGATAATTGTTCAAGGTCTACTTATGAGTGAGAATGTGTGATCCTCAGTTCTTTGTTTCTGTGGCACAATACTCAGTAATATAGACTCTAAGTCCATCCAGGTTGCTGTGAAGTTCTTGATTTTGTCCTTCTTTATGGCTGCATATTCCATCGTGTATATTTACCATATTTTTTAAATTCAGTCCTCTTTCAGTGGGAAGCACGGTTGGTTTCATGTTCTTGCTATTGTGAACAATGCTGCAATCAACATATGTGTGCAAGTATCTTTTTTATAGAGTGAGGTGAGATCTTCCGGGTATATTCAGTGGGCAGATTGTGGGTTCATGTGGAAGGTTGACTTTTAGATCTTTTAGAAATTGCCACAGTTTTCCACAGAGGCTATATTACTTTTCATTCCCACCAACAGTGTAAAAGTGTTTCCTTTTCACCAGATCCTCTCGAGTATCTGTTGTTTTTTGATTTGTTGATAATGGCCATCCTGACTGGAGTTTGGAGGTATCTCAGTGTGGTCTTAATTTGCATTCCTTTAATGACTAGTGAAGTTGAGCAGTTTTTCATGTATCTGTTGTCTGCTTGTATGTCTTCTTTTGAGAATTGTCTATTAATATCTTTTGCCCACTTTGTAATGGGGCTGTTTTCTTTTTTCTTTTTGGCACATTTGAGTTCCTTATATATCCTAGATGTTAGGCTTTTGTCAGACATACAGTTGGCAAATATTTTTTCCCAGTCTGTGGGCTGTCTCTCTGTTCTCTTGATGGTTTCTTTGGCTTTGCTGAAGCTTGTCAGTTTGATGAGGTTCCACTTGTCTATCTTATCTCTTATGGTATGGGTACTTGGGGTTTTGATCAGGAATTGGTTGGCATTTCCAACTTCCATAAGGGTGTCTCCTGCATTTTCTAAAGTTCTATAGTTTGAGGTTTTACGTTTAGGTCTTGGATCCATTTAGAGTTGATTTTTTTGTATGGTGATAGGTAGGGGTCTTGTTTTAATCTTCTGCAGGTGATCAGCCATTTTCCCAGCACCATTTACTGAATAGGTTCTCTTCTCCCCAGTGGTTGGTGGTGAAGACTTTGTCAAGGATGAATTGGTTGAGAAATTGAGGTTTTGCTTCTGGAATCTCTATCTTGTTCCATTGGTCTATATACCTATTCTTATACCAATACCAGGCTGTTTTGATTATTGCAGCTTTATAATAAAGTTTAAAGACTGGGAGTGTGATAACTTCTGCTTTGTTTGTTTGTTTGTTTGTTTTTGCTAAGGATTGTTTTGGCTATTCATGGTCATTTGTGTTTCCATATAAATTCCTGTCTTTTCGTTTCCAGGTCTAAGAAGAATGCTGCTCGTTATTTAATGGGTATTGCATTAAATCTATTGATTGCCTTGAATAGGATGGACATCTTAACAATGCTGATTTTTCTAATCCGTGAGCATGGAATATTTTTCCATTTGTTTGTATCATCTTTGATTTCTTTAATCAGTGTTTTGTAATTTTCATAGTAAAGGTCTTTGACTACTCTGGTTAGGAGAAGGTATTTCATTGTGTGTGTGTGTGTGTGCGTGTGTGTGTGTGTGTGTGTGTGTCTATTGTGAATAGGACCGTGCTTCTTATTTGGGTGTCTGCTTGTTTATTGTTGGTGTATAGGAATGCAACTGTCTTTTTCACATGTATTTTATACCCTGAGACTTTGCCAAAGTTCTTTATCAGTTTCTCTTGGGTTTTCGTGGTATAGCATCATGTCACCTGCAAAGAAGGATAACTTGATTTCTCCTTTCCTATTTGAATACCTCTGATCTCCTTCTCTTGTCTGATTGCTCTAGATAGGACTTCCAAAATCTATGTAGAAAAGGAGGAGTGAGAATGAACATCCTTGCCTTTTTTGAGTTTTCAGGAGAAATGGTTGCAATTTCTGTCTGTTTAGCAGTGTGCTGGCTGTTGGTTTCTCATAGATGACTCTTATTATTTTGAGGTATGTTCCATCTATACCTAGATGTTGAGGGTTTTTATCAAGAAGAGTTGCTGGATTTCATCAAAGGCTTTTTCTGTGTCTAATGATATAATCATGTGGTTTTTGTTTTTGCATCTGTTGATTTATTTAATTATGTTTATGGTCTTACAAATGTTGAACCAGCCCTGCATCCCCCCTGAAGCCTACTTGGTCATGGTGAATGATTTTTGAGACATGTTGTTGATTCCTATTTGCTAGGATCCTGTTGAGAATTTTAGCATTAATGTCTATCAAGGATATTGGCCTCTAGTCCCCTTTCTTTTTTGGATCTTTATCTGGTTTTGGTATCAATGTAATGTTAGCTTCATAAAATGATTTGGGGAGAATTCCTTCTTTCCCAATTGCCTGGAATACCTTCAATAGGATTGGTATTCGTTTCTCCTTGTATGCATGGTAGAATTCTACTGGAAAGCCAGTGTTTTTTTTTTTTTTGTAGGTTGTTTTCTTATGACATAGTCAATTTCCTTGATTGTTATTAGTCTATTTAGGGCCTTGATTTCTTCTTGTTTCAACCTGGGAAGGTTGTGTGATGTCAGAAAGTCCTCCATTTCCTTTAGGTTTTCTAGTTTGTTTCCATACAATTGTATATAGTCATCTCTGATCATCTTTTGTATTTCTTTGTGGTCGATGTGACTTGATCCTTTGCATTTCTGTGTTTATTTGGGCTTTTTCTCTCTCTTTCTTGATCAGTCTAGCTAGGGGACCATTGATCTTGTTTATCCTTTCAAAGAGACAGCTTTCTGTTTCATTGATTTTTTTTTTTTGCATTATCTTTTTAATCTTCCATGTCCGGAATTTGGGCTTTTATTTTGGTGATCTGGATTCTTCTGCTGAAGTTAGGGTTTTGGTGGTCTTGCTTATCCACCTTCCTTAGGTGATTTGTTAGGCTGTTAACTTGTGATCTTTCCATTTTCTTCTTATGTGTTCATAGATATGAATTCCCCTCTTAACACTGCTTTCATGGCATCCCAGAGACTTTGGTAAGATGTTTCTTCATTTTCATTTGTTTCTTAGTATCTTTTAATCTCTGTTTCGATTTCCATATTGACCCAGGAGTTGCTTAGTATCATGCTGTTTACTGTCCATGTCTTTGTAGATTTGGGGGGAACTTTGTTAGTGTTGATATTTATTTGTATTCCACCGTGGTCTGAGAAGGTGCATGGCAGGATTTCGATCTTATGAAATTTGTTTATGCTTGATTGATGGCTGAAGATGTGGTCAATCTTAGAGTACGTTCCATGTGGCGATGAGTATAATATGTATTCTGGGTTTGTTGCGTGGAGTGTTCTGTAGGTATCAATTAAGTCCATTTGGTCAAGTGTCTTATTGAGGTTCCAGATCCCCTTTTGATTTTTTTTTTGTCTTGATGATCTGTCTAGTGTTGTGAATGGGGTATTTATATCCCCAATATGATAGTGTTACAGTCAATATCTTTTTAAAGTATACCTATAAGCAATTTAATGAAAGTTGGTGCTCCTATGTTGAGTGCATATATGTTTAGGATGGACATTTCTTGTTGATGAATTGAACCTTTTATCATGTAGTGACCTTCCGTATCTTTTTAAATTTTTGATAGCTTAAAGGGTATTTTGTCTGATATTAAGATCACAACTTCTGCTTTCTTCTGTGTTCTGTTCACCTGAAAATTTGTTTCCCATTTTTTTACTTTGAATCTGTGAGTGTTCTTTTTGGTGAGATGAGTGCTTGGAGACAATATATTGTTGCCTCATGATATTTTATCTATTTTGCCATTCTATGTCATTTCAGTGGTGCATTTAGTCCATTCACATTTAGATTAATTATTGAAATGTGAGAATTTATCCCCGTCACGAGGTTCTTATAAAGTTTGTTGTTGTTGCTGTTTGTTGTCTTTCTTTTGATTTGTGGGTTGATTCATGCATGTTTTTAATCATTTTTCTGCATTCTTGTGAAGGGCATTGTGGTTCTTTTTTTCCTTTCTTCTGTGTTTAATACTTTCTTTCTTTTTTTTTTCTTTGAGTTGGAGTCTCACTCTGTCACCCAGACTGGAGTGCAGCGGCCACTCCCGGCCACTGCAGCCTCA